TATGCATAAACACATGTGGTTTACATACATTTGAATCAAACCCCCAATCCAATAGTGCACAGATAAACTCATGAGATTTACAAATATAAATTATTTATTCACAACACATGCTTTGATCTCACATGTTAACTTCTTCAAGGATTTGGAATAAATAATTTGGTGTGTACGAAATACTTACTTGATGCGAAAACGACATAATTATGATCATCATGATCTCTTTTCTAGGGCATACGTCAATTCTTGTTTGTTACCTTGATTTACCGTTCGTCTTGATGCCGCCACAGTTCGCTTAGATGGTAGAGTACTCGTGCTGATAACGTGTTGTAATATTGATTGACAATATGTAAAATCTATGTGTAAAATAGACAAAGATAGAAACAGTAGAAGAAGAAGAGAATAAGAGAGAAGAGATACGCTGTTAAAACCATCATCTTATTCATTCACTTGAGCCCTATATATAAGGGAATATAATGTACATGAGTAAATACCTAATGGGCTTATGGCCCATGCCTACAAATCCTATATCTAGGTAATGTCCACAACTTAATATTTACAACACCGACCAAAATGTTCGTTCTAAAGCTGTGGATTGCGGCAATTAATTAATTAATTCCTAATTTCTGTTCCTTGACAACACAATATTGTGTTCTAAGCTGGCAAAATGGGAAACGTTGTCTATCGATGTATTAATGGAGTCAGCATAATCGCATATCTTGAATATCAAAATACTTACTCGATACAGAAGACGATATAATTATGATGATCTTAAGCTTGATAATCACACAGACTTGATTGATCCTTAGATCTAAATTAGTTTCTCCTTCCACAGATTCCTTAACATATCAGAAAAGTGATGGGAAATACTGTGTACCCTAATAAAAAGAGAGAGGACTGATTTATATAAGTGTGTTTTAGATCTGATACGTCCATCAAATATCCAGATTAATGCCTTAGATATATTTGAACATTAAATAAAAGACCTAGCCCAATGGAATAATTAATTGTGAGGCGAATACTTTCAGCACATATTCTTACATATAATATATGTACTAGTACAGCACCCGTGTATTCCACGGGTGCTTGCTAATTTTTTTCTTAAAATCTAAAATTAATGTGAAAAAGTAGTTTGAAAATTTAAATACCTTTTATAATATTATTTATATTAATATATATTTATTATGACACTTTTTATTTGTGCAACTTACTTCTGTTATATTATACTAATTTTTTTAACTTACAATATATAACTACATTACATATAAATATATCAATTGATAAATAATTTTATTTTTCTAATGAGTTTTAATAAATATTATTATTTTTTATTATTATAAAGATAAATATAATTTATTTATTTCATATATACAATATGGATGTCAAATCGAAGATCATCAAAAGATGATTAATTTGATATATTATATATGTAAAACCGATAAGAAATACAAAAGTTATCAACTTTTAAAATACATTTATAATTCAATAGCTTATTGAAGGAAACAAATCAAAATTCATGGATATATTAGTCACTTAGTGCCTCACTATGTAAAATTACAAAAAATTAAAAGGTTATATTAGTAAAAGTGATATTAAAATACATAAGTTAGCTAAATAATATTTATGGAATACCCGAACCTAGATTATTATTAATTATTAATATATCAATATTATTTATCCAAACCTAATTACGAAGCATGATTCTTCGCCAAATAGGATTCCGAAGCACCAGAAGCAGTCACGTAGGCTCAGTGCATTCTGAAATTATATAGAGGGAGGATTGCATTGCAAATTATACCTTTTATTCAAAGCTTAAAATTTATTATTTGCAAAACTTTTATATATGGAAAACCAGAAATTCTATGGCACCACATGTGGTACAATATTATAGTGTCACAACATGATGTGGCACATTATGATTAGTTTTCTTTTATCACACATCATGTTGTTGCACTAATCATAATGTGTCACATCATGTTGTGACACCATAATATAGTGCCACATGTGGTGCCATAGAATTTCTGAATGGAAAACTCTACCTTTTATTCAAAGCAATGCATTGATGGGGCATTTTATTAGCACAAAACACATAACTCTTCACAAATATTAATTGAAGAATTTTGTCGGTTTACAACATTAGAGGTAATATTGGAAATGTTGCGTAAATAAAATAAGTTCACAAAACAATAACTATTTATCAGAAACTACATTTAAATTTGGCTTCTAATTCAGTACTTGAATTTATTATTCCAGAAGAATTTTAGTCGAGTTATGGTGAACTTGCTCAAATTAAAAACAAAATAAAATAACGAACTCAGAAGCGAAAAGCAAATTAGATACTTTGAAATTTATTAATTCGGTTTATATGGTCAAATCAAGATTTTTAGACGTGCTAAATTGAATTTATGTATCATGATTGGTCAAAAAAATAAAAAAATAAATAAAAAAGAAAAATAAAAACAAGCGCATAGAGATGAGTGTACTCGACCAATTTGATTTACGTGTTGAGATACTGTGGTATTACAAAGTTCCAATCATTATTAGGCATTTGTTTCAGTTTCATTTTTTAGGCCAAAAAGCCTAAGCTAGGAATCGACGAGGGTACAACACCATAAATATTTATCATGTTAAAGCCAAGCTCACAACTCCCACCAGAGGGAGATGATGCGATGTAACCCAATCGGATAGAATTTTGAGCTAATACTAGTCTACCGTGTATAGTTGGACCGGCGGCCCTTGAACAACATGTTGAAACCATTGACTACGGTTCAAAATCCTCTCCAATTACGTTTTATCATTTTGTTTTCCATTTGAATTCGGTATGAGATTATTTCTTGTCGAAATCAGGCATTTGAAACGCCAAAGTTTGATCCACGGTTCAAAATCAAAAGCGAACGAACAAAATGAATTGTTAGTTTCTCAAACTGAAATAGTGTACCGATGTTCCTGAAAAAATCGGGCTGCGGTTGTGGAGATGTCTATTTTGAGCTACACCACGTCTGATGATGGACCACCCAAAAATTGCATAAAAGGAATTGATTATCCATGAAGAAACTTGAAGATTTTGGCTTGTGGACCAAACATTCTTTCTGTGTTCCATTCATGACAGCCATATTTGCTAAAAAAGGGAGAAAAAAAGGATGCCACATTTGTGTTTTTAATTTCCTTGCTGGCAAATAACAAACTGGAAAAGCAACAAGCAAGAAAAGAAAGACCAAAAGCTATTTTAATAATGAGAACAAAGTGAATTTGTTGAGTTGTTGATTATAACTTCCATTTTGTACATTCCCCTCCGGTTTTGGACGCTCATTCGAATGGACCAGTTAGAGTACCCATCCTTCAGATTCGGTCGACCGCCACCACATGCCCCTGACTAGTTTTGACATTTTGGACTCCATGTCAGGCCACTCTGACCAGAACGACCTTTTATGAGGATTTAATTTTAGATCCACATTGAATATTTTTGTGATCCTTGTATTTTGTATTTTTTATTTTTTCTGCTTTTGATATTGTTCTATATATTTTCGACTTGGATGTAGACCATTGACTTTTTAGCCTTTCTGGGCCATTATATTCACAGGTTGGGGGTATAGCCTCAACCCCCCCCATCCCAATCTGGGATGTTAAAAAAAAAAAAATCGACTTTGTAAGCTAAAAAGGCACAAATTTACTCATAACACACTCGCAAATCCTTGATTTCTCCCAATCCTGACCACAACTTGTCAACCACCAAGAATATTATCACGAAAGAAATAAGAACAGTAATGTTCTCCTCAAGGTCAATTCTTTTGTTCTGCAAGAACTCTGCTGATCTTAAAGCATCATATTCTATTCACTAAAAGATTATAGGGAAAATGTTAAGGTACCATTCCGTCAGGTTTTGTAACCGTTGGATCATCATGTAACCGTCATAGATAGTTAATCTAACGGTTGCAAACCCCAACGGAATGATTCCGTAACGGGACCGTAGCTATCTTCCAAGATTATATATCCTAATTTATGACTAAATCTAAAATATGCTTAAATTAAGATCTGAATATGACTTGAAATGAATATGATAAGCTTACTGGCTTACAAACCTGCTATCATCATCTTCAACCAACTCTGATAAGGTAAAATTTTGATGTCTACCACAAACAAGAATAAGACGTAGTAATCAGTAGAACTTCCAAAGGACAACGAATATTGGTTAAAGAATGTGGGTCATATCAGACTCCACGTTAAAACACAAGGAATTACAAGGACGAACAATGGATTTTTAACCGTTGATCAACACATACACACGTGGGCATGTGAAAATACGAGGTAACCCAATGGTAAAAAAAATTAAGTATTAACAGTGTCCACCTCGGTTGGGATTGAATTTTCCTACAAGGAATATGTTGCTTGTAGACTTTGTCTGGGCCATTTGAATCATTGATTGCAGAGAGGATGAGGCAATAAAATGAACCAATACAAAGGTCCAAAAAATTCCAAAAATATCAAAAGAGAGCTTAGAATGTGCAATACGAAATAAGCAGATACACTAAGAATGTACAACATATCACAATACCATAAAGTTCATTTGCTTATCTTATCAAAACACGCATTGCGAAATTCTGCGATAATGGCTTTCAGGGTTCAATTAGAAAATAAATTGGCCCACGACAAGCGACTCGATGCATGCATATGATGTAGTGACCTTTCAATCTTCTGTCTTTCCCCTCTTCAACAAAACCAGTTTTTAACTATCTGCTTACCCACATTTACTTAAAGAGTAGATCACAACTTCCAGATTGACTAAGTTCATCGACATTCCTGCATGAAAGATGTTACACCCAAAAAAAAAAAGGGAAGTTTAGGTCATCAGTAAATGCACCAACAAAAATAGTAACTAACAGCCTAATGTGTTTTCTCCACTTTTTCTTCCTTGTGTGTGTGTGTGTGTGTGTGTGTGTGTGTCAATACAGAAAGAAAATGTACATTTTCTCACCGAATACAAGTTAATCAGTACGAATCACTATTGGTTAGAAAGCATCCCTCCCACGCCCTCGCTGCCCGACTCGTTCCTCACTCGGGTATATATCACTGTGCCAACCTCTAACTGGGGATCGGCTCCTAGCCTTAACAACACGAGAAGCATCCGACCCCCAAGGGGACCACTCTCTCTTCTTGTTACAATGATCAACACGAGAAGCATCCGACCCCCAAGGGGACCACTCTCTCCTCTTGTCACCACCTCTTTGGTCCCAATCCCTTGCCATGGGAGGAGAACCAGCGTTCCTGACCTCATTTCTTGCCGGTGGGCCCCAGCCTCGAGCAGGCGACCCGTACCCACCCCCGTTAGTGGAACGAACAAACGGGATCTGCGGCCGGGAAGGGAACGGCTGACCCACGTATCCCCTGTCAGACGGAAAGGAGTAAGCCCTAAAACGTGGCCTGCCACAGCTGTTGCAGCAGTCACGTCTGGCGAAATTCAGGTTCTCGCACGTGGGGTCGGCACATATCCAGTCCCCTTCCCTCGGCCGCACGTTTGGATTGTTTCTGTTGCTAATTTTATGAGGCAGCCCCTGGGCTCTCAACGGCTGAAGCTCACGTGCAGAAGAACCAAACCTCCCAATATCATCCTTAACATGTCGTTCGTAGGGGGGAGAGGGAGAGTAATCGCGATACCTGCCTCGGGGTTCTCTCTTGTTTACTGGCCCACGGGAAAACGGTGGGCCCCTTGTGTCAGAGGGCTTAAAGCCACCGGGACTACTAAAGCGGCGATTGCGGCGCACGGGGGATATAGAGCCAGCGTGAGTTCTATATGGTCTGCTTCGAGAGTACGGGGGAGCCAGGGCCCAATGAAGCTCGTCGGTTCTGTAGTCAGTGGTGGCGGGACCCCCGCTGTCGGAGGTGCGCACGACGATACTGCTCAACAGCGGCTGGTGGTGGGGGGTCCTTTTGTCCTTCTCTTGTGAACCCATATCCGTCTCATATGTCAGGATCCTATGCACGGAGCAGGAGCAGTTAACTTGCTTTATTAGTTATGAGGAGAAGTTTTAGGTGGTACGGGTGATTGAATATAGCAAAGAGGAATGAAGTTTTAGGATATATCTCACTTAACAACATCATAACATTTATAAAATGATTCTTGAAAATGTTTTATCTAACCTTACGATGGAATAGAAGATTTTTATTACCATACTTATACCTCATCAAACCTCAAGGTCACAAA